GCGCGTGGTCGCCAGTGGAGGGGGCGGGGGGGGGTCGTGCTATTCCCGTTTCCTCCTGCTTGGGGGACAAGTTGGGATGGGGCCATGCGTGGGGGGGATGGAAGGGTCGGGCCACACGTTTCTTTCCTGTGTGATGGACAGGGTGGGGTGGGACCATGTGTCCCCCCCCCACCTGCATGGGGACCCGGGGGCTGGGTTACTAGTGTCCCCGCCTGCTTGGGGGACAGGGCACAGGGTGAGATGAGGGTACACGTCCCCATCTGCATGGGGGACCAAGGGGCGAGGGCCACTGGTGTCCCTGCCTGCTTGGGGCACAGGCCTGCATGGGGCACTTAGGAGGTTGGGGCCGCCCATGTCCCTGCGTGCGTCGCGTGTGTTGTGCGGGGGGGGGGGGGGGGTGTCTGGGTCATGTGCGAGGACAGAATGGGATGGAGTCATGCACATCCCCACCTGCAGGGTGCGATGGAGCCACGCATATCCCTGCCTGTGAGGGAGCCGGGCCACAGGACAGGGTGGGTTGGGACTATGCATGTCCCTGCCTGCATGGGCACAGGACACCGCGGGGACAGGCAGGGACCCCTTATGTCCCGCCAGGGGAGGGAGTCCCTGCTGTGCACTGTGGTGGCACTGGGGCATCTGGCTCCAGGGGTGTCCCCAGGTGGGAAAGCTGGAGACACCGCTGGTCCCTGTTTGCATGCTGTCCATAGCGTGTGCACAGGTTTGGGATTTTCTGGATGACATCCAAGGCTGGGGAGATGCAGCCTGTTCTGAAACCTCAGGGTTGGCTGGCTGGTGGGGGAAGGTGGCAGTCCCTCAGTCTGTCCCACCAGCGCTGGGGAGAGCTAGAAATAAGCTGTGACTAGCAAGGACCATAGGGATCAGGCTCCAGGCTTCTCGAACGCCTTGAAACTGCTCTCCTCTACCTATATGGTCACGCTAAGTTCTGCAGTGGGGCTGCTGCTCTCTCAGGATGCTGATGTGTCCCACAGTCCCAGCTGACATGTGGCTCTGGGGAGAGCTCAGGAGGCATTTGGAGGCTGAAGCCCTAACTTTAGGGGAGCCAAATCTGCTGAGATCAAGTGGAGTGGGAGATCCTTGCTCTGGGGGAAGCCATGTGTTTGCACTCTCTGCAGCATGTTTTTTGGAGGGTTGTGAAACTCCAGGCCTTGATAGGGCACAGGGATCCTCTCTGATGGGAGAAGACAAGGCTGGGGAAGCGGGTGCTTGGTTTCACTAGGTGCAGAGGGAGGGAATGACTTTCCAAAGGTGGCACAGGGAATCTGTGGAAAAGCAGAGACTGGAGGGCTCATCGGACCTTATAAAATTCCTGGAAAGCTTGACAAGTCTGTGGAACTAATCCAAGCTTGCAAAGCTTTCCCTCAGCAAGCTGCACCATGGGCTTCCAAGGTCAGTCTGGTTTCATTATGTCAAGGAACTCCCTGGGTGGTTTGCGAGATTTGGGAGGCAGGTGTGAGAGCAGGGGGCTCTTTCTGGAGAAGCCTGGCAACTGGTCCTCAACACATGGGGGAGCACATGGGAGTGTGAAGCTGGAGCTCTCAGCTGAAGCATGGGAAAGGAGCTTGTGGGACAGCTGAGTGCCACTCATGAGATGCCCATCTTCCTTGGGCATGAGGTCCCTAGCCCAGATCTGCATGTTCCCCTTCTTGAGTGCATCCTCTAAGGACTGCTGTGAGTCAGCCTTGCCTGTGAGGAGGTTCCCAGCAACAGCTGGAGAAGGGTTGATAAGCTGGGGAGACATGGTGTCGATGCGTCCTCACGCCTTTACAGACCAAGTTCTGCCAGGGAGAGCTGCTCCTGGGGAAGGAAAATGGTTCTTGAGGTTTGGTTGGGAGAGACAAACTGCTGATGTGC